TGCCTTTGTTCTTTGTAGGCCGCAAGTGAGTCCAAGAGTGGTAAGGAGTGCGAGAGAAAAAGGTATATACGAGCGATACCACGTGATACTTCGTCCTCTCTGTCTGTCGAATGATCGACGCATGCGCAGAGAGGACGAATATTACTCGTCTACCTTTCTCTCTCGCACACATCTTGGACACAGTTTTCGAGCCATCTATATACTCAAAGGTTAGGTTAAAGAATCGTCAATAAAGAATTTTTGGAACAAACTTTAATTACCGAAGCACAAAGGACTAAAAATTCTTTCTATTTTTATAAATCAAAGTTTTCCGAGTTGCTGAATTCGCAGTCATAATAGTGAAATTCACAATGGCGGATTTAAAATAGCGACCAAATTTCCAAATAATGACTTTTTTGCACAAGACTCAGTAAACAGATATTTTTTGTGTCGTTAATCATAAATTTTCAGTTATCAAAGCGGAATTCAGAGTACCGATTCTAATATGATGGGTGAAATATAGCCAGTATATGTATACAGGGTGTCTCATTTTAATGTCCCACCCCAAATAACTTTTTTATTTTTGATCTTACAATTAGAAAAAAATGTTTCAGACAAAAGTTATATGGCTTTGAGGGAGACATAAGATGATAACATTGATTTGACCCTGAGTGGCGTCGTCAAGGTCAGGACAAAATCACTTTGAATTTTTTAAATGGAATTTTTCGTTGTATATTCTTGTAGCTTATTTCGAGAGCTTTCCAAAACACATAGGTAAAATGTTTTTTGGTTAAGTAAATCTCGTGTTATAAAGCTTGAAAGTTACAGTACCACCGGCATTAGCATTATCTAAGGTGTTCATAAAATGGCTAAAACATTTTAAATGTAGTTCAGGATCATGAGCTTGATAACATGTGTCAAAGTCATGATTATTGGAGAATGTTTCTCTTTTTTTCAAAAAATAAGAATAATTTTCTAAAATGAAAATAAGAGAAACAATCTCCAATAATGCTCTTAGATGACTTAAATAATGCTAATGCCAGTGGTA